TGTAGATGCAGCAATAAACTGTGTTTACTGACAGAGGTTTTCAGAAGTCCAAGCCCATGCAATTATATTCATTACAGAAGCATATCCGTTTTTAATGCAGTGCTGTCTGAATGACAGAAGGTCATAGGCATTCAGTATTGGTTTTTGGCCTTGCTCTTCATGTGGAGATTCTCTGAATCTTTTAATGATATTCTCAAATGCCTTGAAAATATTATTTGTAAACTGTTTTTATTTATAAAATGTATTTTTTGGTATCGAGGTGAGCCTTGATTCGTCCTCGCTTGTAAAAGACTCAGCCTTTCCTGGATGCTGCTTTTATACTCAAGCATGACTAATTTGGGAATATTTCACAATATTCATTCTAAAACTGTTGCCTGCAACACATTCCAAAAAAGTTGGAATAAGACTAGAAACATCTTGAAATGTTCAAAAAACTGCTGTTTTATCTGGGCTCAAGCTCAAAAAAATGTATTGTGATCCACCTTTTAGAATGTTTATGGAAATAATGGGCATTGTGTTCTCTGGGGCAATGAAGAAAAAGGCAATCCAGACCAGCGTAAAGTTTCAAAGCTAGGATTTGTCATGGTATCAGGGGCAGGTATCAGTGAGTAACCTGCACATCTGTGGAAGCACCATTATCTGTCGACGTGGCATTCGATGTTTGATTCAATTATGTTCGGTATTCGATTATCTGAAGAAATTGGTATACTGCGATATTAAACATGCACTGTAACAACATCATGGACACTTTGAAATACCATCACCACAAAGTAGTCAAGCAAGTCGTAGTGTCAACAAAGATTTTTAGAGATGCAGAGCAGCTCTGGTTTCACAAGCTCCCACTGCACTGTTACAGTCTGATCATGTCATACGATCTTTCCTGAGTTACATTTGTCTTAATAACCTGTTGTCAGGCAGCACTCATCCACTGCACTCACTTCTGGTTAGAAAAAATAAATGCAGCATTTAGTCGCTATGTTCATCATCTCAGCATACAGAACAGCAATGTTCTTATTTATTGTCAGTGCATTTTACAGCTGCCAGAATGTCGGGTCAATGTAATGCTGTGGAATGATAGAGCAACCCTCTCTACATGTCATTAGTGACATTTGTGTTTGAAAAGGTTAATACAGTTAGCTATTTTAATGGTCTTTTTATTCATCTTTATCAAGGTAATCAATAAATCAAATTTAAATAGCCAATATAATGACAGAGAGCCTCGTAGGACAATGATGGTTCACTTTAAGCTGTCATTAAAAAATAGATATGCATTGAAGCTAAAATCAGTTATTTTGTAGTCAGTTCATACAATTTCAGAGATATTTAATTTGGTAGAACTAGTTTAAAAAATGTGTGCTTTTACTAATCTAGTATTAAGTAGTAGATACATCAATTTGAAAAAAATAATCTTCCAAGATCACTTATAGGCCATCAGCATGTCTACTTGCTTAAAGGATTTAAGTACTTTTACTTTTGATACCTGTGACAGAAGAGAATTGGCATTATTTCTGATGTAAAGCTAACTTCCACACATGGAGATAGCATGCATGATGGCTTTGGTTAAGAGAGGACTAAGGGTAAGAAGGGGCAAATTTAAGTAAGAGGTTTGGAGGAAAAGTGATTGTAGAAATTTCAATGTAAGGGCACTTGTATATAGAACCTGGGAGCACTATGCCCACACCAGTGCTCCACACAAAAAGTATAAAACAAACCTAGCTTGACATGTCCCATCACTATTGGTAAGATGCTTAAGGAAAAATGTTAACCAAATAACAATACTGTTATTGGTGAATCGCATTCTCAAGTCATTTTTTAGTTCAGGACAAAGCTTAATGTACCATTGTGGTAGTTCACCAGCTTGATACCAGTGTACTAAGATTAAAGTGCCCATAACATGTAAAGCGTAAGTCCCCTAGCTTGAAATAAGACTCGGATGGTAGTTGTAAGTTGTAAGCTGCAAAAACAGCATATTTTGACCAACTAATAAATAATGCTAATAATAAGAGCAAAACAAGAGTAAACTAATACATTTACATATTGCTGTTGTTGGAAGAAAACCTTGTGTCTCCAAAATGATAACTTTACAGGAGAAGGAGGATAAAGAGGTTGTGAATTATGACTGTATATAAAACCACGCTAACGTCATTAGTGGACTGTGTTTTAAACAAGTTTGTTAAAAAAAATAGCATTTTTCAACCATTGCAGGATAAATGCTTTAACCTTAAACTTAAGGATAGGGATTGTACAGTTCCTGGTTTTAATGATATATCAGGGTATAAAGCCCAGTGATAATCCTGACTTCATATTTTAGAAATTTGATAATCATGCCACATAATTGGCTTTTTAAAAGGTAGAAATAAATAACCTGCATGTGCAAGGACAACACATTTTACATAGTTATAATCTGAAGAGTAAATGCAGCAGTGCTGGTGATTATTTTACGTTTACGTAAACTGTAGTATATATTATTTTATAGTCATTGATGTCATGATAGGAAATTTTCATGCCTGTATCCCTACTTCATGAGTGATGTATAGGTATTTTGTACTCACTGAGTGAAAAAATCCAGAACACATAATTTATGTTTTTGTCTGAATTATTGTGTGTTCGGTGGATGACCATTCTGCTTTTCTGCTTCTTAGTTGTATAACTCACCTGCCTGCTAGCTGTCGTGGTGAGCAAAGCTTCCAGGTTACAAGATATCTTGTGATGAAAATAAAGGTTGAAAAAAGGATCCCCACCCTTCCTCAGGGTGCCCATTTTACACTACTGCAACTTAAAATGAGGAAGAGAGGGAGACTCTCTCCACCATCACCGCAAAGCGGCCTTAAAATAGCTCACCCCTCCCTCTCCCTTTCTCTTCCACGTCATTGCATGATGCACAGCATTAACCCTGCTGTCGTTGTTTTTCCCCACCCATTCTGCCTTATATTTTTTATATCTTTAATAATCTGCTTAGTCCTAACAAATTAAGGCGTTTTTTTTGTTTGTTTTTTTGTTTTTGTTTTTGCAATGATTGTATTTACTTTGGTACAGTTCTTTGCTTGGTTTTCCTTACTCTTTAAAGGATTTAAATACTCTCTGTTCATGAACACATGTTCATAAACACAAACAAGAGATTCACTTGTTTTGTATCTCCGGACCAACAGAGATTTATTCCGGAATGATTTTAAACAATCATATAACAAGCACAAACACAGTCCCTCTCTCTAAATTCTCTTTCTTGCTAAAAGGTTTTACCATGTATGAGACATTTGAAAAGGATTTAAGCTATAGTGATGGCTTTCATTGTAAAACCAATTTGAAGTTAAAGCAAAGTATAACACAAATTCTTATATTCAACATCCTCCTTTGTTGATGTGCAAATCTTTTGTTTTTCAGCTTGGAAAAGCTTGAGTCAGCTTATTTGCTAATCTGTTTTTAGCTGTAGATTCACTAGTAATATAGTAATTTACTATTAACTGTCAAAAAATAACTATTTTGGTCGTTTCAGTAGAGAGGTTCTTGTGCAGTTGTGTTGGAATTAAGTTGGGTGGGACTTTGCTGGAAGAAGCTGATGTGAAATGTTTCCTCCTACCATTCAGAATTAGCCAACCCACACAAACCAAAGCCTCTAGTTGTGCCTGGACCGCTACAAACTGCATCGCATTTTGAGTATTCTGCCTAAAAACTCCTTAATTATGGTGGAATGTCTGTAATGCACAGCCCCTCCTAGCTAACTATATTAATCCAGTGCTCACTTTGCAAAAGATTAGTTTAACTGTTTCACTCTGACTTAAAATTCTCAAAAATATGTTATCAAAAACATTGGCTGTGTACTCTTTTCAATAACATGCACATGACTTGCCAGAATTATCTTGTATAATTTCAAAAAGTGCACCAGTGCTTTTAACAATAGAACTTTAGAGCCCAGTCTACTGAACAAAATTTAGTTGGTACCAAATGAATTTGACATTTAGAGTTTGTGGGGAATTCTTTTTCTAGCTAGGGTGGTTCAGTACTATGCTCCATTAGCAGATGGTGCTTTAACCTGAGAGGCTTAAGCTGATCCTCTGTGTTTATCAACCCATATTATTAATTCAGCATGCAGTTTTGCAAAATGGGTTCATATGAAACCTAAAGTATGTAAAACTGTCATAATCAGAATGTGGGCATACTTTTTTAGGACCAGTTAATTTTGCCATACATTTCTAATCTCTGTCTATATGTGGAATGAAACTTGTGACACATTTGTTTCTTCTTCATAATCTATATTTAACAATTCAGTAGCATTTAAAACTGCTCAACGTCAAACCATTATTTTCTGTCTGTCTGCATGACAAAGCCATGCCATGCCAGTCTATTAGCACATGCCACTTTGGCTGGGTGTTGTCTAGTGGCACTTTATTGATTATATATACATGTATAGGGTCCATACAAACAGGCAATGGTCTTGCAATTGTAGAACTACACATTGCTCCTACATTGTAAATGGACCTGATAAAATAGAATAGGGATGGGAATATACTTCATTTAGATTTCTCTCTTAAGAATTTCTAGGGATGCCAATAATTGTGGCACATATAGATTTAAGAAACATTTTCATGACAAGATTTTCTTTTTATTCCAATCATTATACCCTGAATAAAGATTTTTTTTAATAATATTGATCAAAAAGCTAAGTAATTTAAAAAAAATCCATCATAGGGTCTTCACACTATGGGGGTCTTCAGAAACACTGCTATTGATTGTTATGTATGGGCATAAAGTATATCATGCCGTATCTAAGCTAAAAGTCAAAACTGAGTGGAATTTTACCCAAGACAGTGCCTTTGTGCCTTAAGTGACTTTAAACATTTAAAGCTTGCACTTGAGTTTTGAGTGGCTGTATTACTGTTACTGGTATTCTTGTTTTTAAATGGATATTAAAATTGAATGGGCTAAGAATAGTGTGCAGCATGGTGAAGCCGATACCATGTAACATTGTGTTGACATTAACTCTCATTTTTTATCATTGCTAGATGCTGTGACAAGACCCAGAGACTGGAGTCCAGGTGGCACAATGTGAGTAGTGTTTTATTTCAAACCCAGTATAGTAAATTAATTCTTTTTTCACCTTAAATCAGAAATTTTGTTGTGGTCTATTTATTGCATGCTGTAAATGCAAAAGAAATATTTTATAAAATAGTAATCACCATTCACATGGAAGCGGGTATGGGAAACCATTAAACAGGCTTCAGTGGCATCCAACTATTGCTTACTTAGAGCACAAAAAAAGTAAATGCAAATTCTATCTGTGCAGTTAAGGTATACTTGCACTCAACTCTTCTAAAAAATTCACTTCTGTTTAAACAGTTGATAACATACTTTGAATAGTAAAATATTTTTATTAACTAAACATTTATGTGGCCTATTCTTTTGAACAAACACTCCTAAATGAAAAATGAACAGCAGTGCAATATACTGCTTTTTTAAATTACTAGGCTATGTGTTCCTGTTAAAAAAGTTCACTTTAATGGTAACCAGTTCACCACATGTAGTTACATTTAACATGTTATAGCAGTAGGCTGTATAAAAAAAAAAACATTGGGGTGAACAAATCTAGAGCAACACAGCGTATCAGCTAATTATTTAGATCATGCAGATAACTGAAGTGCGGAACATGCATGGCAATCTGTTGCGGCCAATATGTAAAAAAAATTGGGTGGCATATATCATTATACATCAGAGGAGTTTGGCCCAGATTAGTTTTATTTTCTAAGGATGTATTGATTCAAAGAATTCATAAATCAATTTTATATGATACGGTGGTATTTTGATTCAATACACCTTTTGATGCAGCAAAAATAAAGACTGCCTGAAAATCTGTCTTAACATGAAAATTTCCATTTTCTCTTCATTAAAGCATTCAACATTTAAAAGTACAATATTTTAGCTACAAGCTAATATGTTAGCCTTAAGCTAATATACACTCTTGACATGTGTGCTTTTCCTTCCTGCTCTCAATTTTGAGGTAAAGAAGAAGCAACTTTTTTACTGTGAGCTTGCTTGTTACAGTTTTTGCAAAGCATTGTTATTTCTAGGCTTCTTCTTCTTATTCGTCTTATTGTTCTTCCAGGATCAATAAGTCAAGAACTACTTAACATAGAAACTTTGTTAAAAATGGATTGTGTAGGTCTTGTAAATGGCACAATGGCTATGATATTTTTTAACACTTTGTACTTTAAGATATTAAAGAAAACCTAGTAATTTTTTACCTTAGTCTTATAGTGAGCCATTGTGGCATTATAAATCAGGTTTAAACTTGCTTGAACATGTTTTTACTGTCATATGCACCAATTTAAGTCTCCCTTTATATCTGTCCCTCTCAACATAACTGAAGCACTCAGAGTCTCCATAACCACTTTCCACTCTGTCTGTCTGTATCTATCTATCTATCTATCTATCTATCTATCTATCTATCTATCTATCTATCTATCTGAGTGTATTATTTGAAACCAATGCCTACTGAATTGTGAGGCTTGATATTGAATAGGCTGAATGATGGGGAGAGGTAAAGCCATCTTACGTACACAGAGAGCAAGGCCAGTTATATCCAGTCACAGATGGCTGTGCCATGGCTGAGGATCAAATCTCCCAATGAAAGAGCCAATGATTCAGTTATTAGTCTAAGACCTAATTTGTGAGTTCAGACCACACCTTCATGATGTGGTGGTAGTATGAGGAAGAATTGATTGAGAGAGGGGGGAGAACTCTGAGAACTTGGGCTAGAGTTCTGGGCAGCTTCTGCCTGTAGCTAGAAGGCCAGATCCCCAAAAGGCTCCAGGATGAACTCAAAAGCTGTTGAAGTCTAGGACTGAGTGATCTTCACATGATGAGAAGAGCTGGTTCTGAAATAACAACTGTAGCAGCTTGGGTAGAAAACTTGGTAGGACTGTATGCCAGCGGAATATGGAGGAGCTGGATTCAGAATGAGATTGGTCAGACGGTCTAGCATTTGGGTATCTGAGGCATGGTATGGTTAGGTAGAGAAGTTTAGTCAAGGCAGAAAAGAGGTCTAGTAACATGCGCCCCTTGTATGGTGTTGGAGTAAGTAGTTTGCTATCAAGGATGTAAGGTGAGAAGAAAAATGGAGCAGGTTTTGCTGCTTAACAGACATCCGGGTCTGAACCCCTGATGAGTGAGCCAAGGGCGACAGTGGCAAGGGAAAACTCCCAGTGAGGAAGAAACCTTGAGAGAAACCAAGGCTCAAACAGGGGAACCCATCCTCCTCTGGTCAACACCGGATTGTGAAGATTGTGTTAAATATGGCAGGCAAATTGGTTGGACTGGGAATAAAGCAGATTACATCCTGAATGAAATTAACATGAAGCAGGAATGGCTGTTAGAGGTAGCTGGTCCATACGAGGGTTGATGGGCTTGATGACTGAGGCAACTGGATGATTCTCTGGCCAAACAACTGGAGGTTGTTTAATTATAACATTGGATGAGAAATCACTTGATTGCTTGCTTGGAGTTTAAGCCCCCAAAAACTGACAATGGTGAAAGGACATTGCTCCCAGGACAGAGCTGAACGGGATGAGAGTAAAGGCAACAGCATGAGAGGAGTCAAATCAGCGGTGGCCGAAGAACAGTCAAAGAGACTAGGAAAGTAGCAGGATACAGGCAGTATTTTCGAACGAACCGATAATAGTTCAGTCAGAGAGAAAAATAAAGAAATGGAACTGAGGCAATATAAGGCTCATCCAAGACGGAGCTGATCTGAGGTGAAGCCGAGGTAAGACAGCGATGAGCCGTGGGACTGACTGTGTTGGAACCAAACCTAGTTGGAGCTGATCTCAGATGGAGCTGAGTGAAGCCACAAACAAGATGCAGGACTGAGCTGCATAGGAGCTGATCTGAGATGGAGCCAAGTGGAATCCGAAACAAGTTGCAAAGCTGACTGTATGGGAACTAATCCAAGATGGAGCATAGTCGAGACAGAAATAAGCTGCAGAGCAGAGTTGTTCTGGAGCCGATCCAAGATGGAGTGAGGAGTTGCAGAGCTGAGACACATTGGAGCTGAACAAGGAGTTGAACTTGAGTTGAAGCCAGGATGAGATGGAGCCATGAAGAGTCAGAAAGGAGTTGCCGAGCTGGGTGGCAGGAGCCGATCCGAGATAGAGCGGGCTGAGATAGAGCTATGTAGATTCAGAAAGGAGTTGCAGAGCTGGGATGCTGGAGCTGAACCAAGACAGAGCCGATCCCAGATGGAGCAGAGTGGAGAGACTAGTCGCAAAACAGACACATCAGAGCTGAACCAGGAAGGAGTTGAACTTGAGATGAGAAGGGAGTTGCAGAGCCGGGTTGCAGGAGATGATCTGGGATGGAGTGGGCTGCGATGGAGCTTGGTTACAGGAGCCAGTCTGAGATAGAGTGGGCTGAGATGGAGCCATGTAGTGTCAGAAGGGAGTTGCAGAGCTGGGTTGCAGGAGCTAATCCGAGATGAAGCCGATCCAAGATGGAGCTGAATGGAGTGAGGAGTCGCAGAGCTGAGACACATCAGAGCTGATCCAGGAAGAAGTTGAACTTGAGATGAGAAGGGAGTTACAGAGCTGGGTTGTGGGAGCTGATCCAAGATGGAGCGGGCTGAGATGGCGCTGGGTTGCAGGAGCCAATCCAAGATGGAGGGGGCTGAGATGGAGCCGTGTAGAGTCAGAAAGGAGTTGCAAAGCTGGGTTGCAGGTGCTGATCTGAGATGGAGCTGGGTTGCAGGTGCTGATCTGAGATGGAGCTGGGTGGAGATGGACCCATGTGGACTCAGAAGGGAGTTGCAGGAGCTGATCCAAGATGGATTGGGCTGAGATGGAGCCGAGATTGGATGGAGGCTTTAGATAGGGGGATGAAAGGGGTGGGAGTGGGAACGAAAGGATGATTGGGTGAAAGTGTGTGAGAGAGAGAGGCTGGGATGATGAGGGAAGGGGGAGGGATGATAAAAGGAAGGGGGAGGGGTGATAAAGGCAAAGGATGAAGAAGGCAAGGGACGAAAACGGGTGGAAGTGAGATGGAAAAAAAAGATCCCATAGAAAGGGGGAGGTGCTTGGATCAGTAGATTGAGCATGTAACATTAAATAACGTAACACTACATGGAATAGAAGGTAAGGAAATTAAGTGGCTCTATCCACATTACGGGCGGCACGGAGTTTGCCTGTTCTCCCCGTGTCTGCGTGGGTTTTCTCCGGGTACTCCGGTTTCCTCCCACAGTCCAAAAAACATGCAGTCAGGCCAATTGGACATGCTAAATTGCCCCTAGGTGTGAGTGTGCGTGTGAGACTGTGTATGTCTGTCTGTCTGCCCTGCGATGGACTGGCGACCTGTCCAGGGTGTATCCTGCCTTCCGCCCAATGACAGCTGGGATAGGCTCCTGCACCCCACCGCGACCCAGAAGGAAAAGCGGTTTAGATGATGTATGTATGTATATCCACATTACATTACAGTGGCAGTGAGGACATTACGATAAGATTGAATGAGTCAGTCCCCATTAAGAACATACACAGCAGAATAAAATTAGCAAAGTATGCAGGAAGCAGGAAAACAGACGTACGAACAGCGAAAAAGGCTTAACAAAATAAAGCATTGCGTCCAGCTGAGTAGATGCAAGACGTGACAGGAAGTTTGGCCTCATGCTAGCGAGAAAAGAGGAGAATACAAGGGAGGTGGAAAGACATGGGCAAGAGAGAGGAGAACTGGTGGCTAGTGGAACGGGTTGGAATGGCGTGAAGGGGTGACGGACGTCATGTAGAATATAGGTAGGCGTCGTGACGAAATCGCGTAGGGCGAGCGTGGTGCAGTCACGTGGTCTGCGCAGCCGCGCGAGCTGAGGGTCAAATAATGGCGCCAAAAGCAGGTTTGTTTAGCTCCGCCCGAAGCCGAGACAGAGCGGAATACATCAGCATGGAAGACGCGATCCGTCCATCAGGGCTCGCCAGTGAGCAGACATGGTCCAGAGAAGGGTGCAGTTTGGATAAAGCTCGTGGAGGCCGAGGGCAGGAGCGGAGGAATGCGTGCCGTCGAGGCTTCAAGCA